AGACAGAAAGCGAGAAATAACCCCCCAGGGGGGATGGTCACGCCACAATCCCTTCTCCTCCATTCTCCTCTCGGGATATTGGGCACGCACGCAAACGCGCCCGGCGTGAGTTTTAAGCCACCGGGTCTGGGACAGGAACCGCAGTCGACTACGTGGGAGTTCAGCGACACAGCCATTACGCTAACTGCTGGTTCCCCCGCCCAGAGTGTTTTTCAAGCTGCTGGGTCCAGTATTTGAACTGTGGAGTCAGCCATGTGGAATCCAACACCCTAACTGCCATGCCACCTGCTGTCCCAGTTTTAGCTTTTATTTTTTAGAGAGAGAGATTTTTGTTATAGAGCACATGTGCTCGCCAGAAACACACAGAGACAGAGACAGGGAAGTAAGAAATTGCCCCCAGGGGGGATGCCACACCACAGTCCCTTCTCCTCCATTCTCATCTTGGAATTTAGAGCACACACATGCGCCTGGCGTGAGTTTCAAGCCACCAAGACCAGGACTTGAACTGCAGTCAACCATGTGGGAGTCCAGTGCCTTAACCACTATGCTTCCAGCTGGCCCCCCAGTTTTAGCTTTTTTAACATGGCCTCTTCTGTCTTAATTAGCTCACCATCTGCCCTATTTCAAAGGCTGTACAACTGTGCACAAAAACAGGTTGTCTCCACCCATATCCCCAACACAGACCTACCATGTTCAGAGCCGCTCAGGGCCGCAGTCACCATCAACAGACTCTCACCTCAAGAAGCTGCATCCTGGGACTAGCAGGTGGCATGGTAGTTAAGGTGCTGGACACTCCCACATGGCTGACCACGGTTCAAGTCCTGGTGGCTTGTTTTCTCACTTTCTCTCTCTTTCTCTGTCTCCCTCTGGTCAAATTAAAAAATAAATGAATGAATAAATAAAATAAAATAATGCTTTAAGAAAAATAAATAAATTTTTAAAAAAAGAAGCTGCATCCTTTGGCAGAAACCCACCTGTGCATGCCGTGGCATCTCTGGTCGGGTGGAAAGGCACAGGCCCGTTCTCTGGCAGGAATCCATCCACACAGTAGCATTCGAAGCTCCCGAGAGTGTTGACACACCGTCCTCCGTGCCTGCACAGGCCAGAAGCTTCACACTCATCTATGTCTAGAGACCCATCCCAAACACGAGAAAGGAGAGAAAAACAGAAAAAGAAAAAAAGGGGAGGGGGCATTGTGACAGTCGTTTTCGCACAGTCTCAATCTACCCTTCTAAGTGGATGCATTTATTTCCAATTGTGCCATGAATTTATTTTTGTCCTTAAGGGTTTTGCTCAGATATCTTTTACCTCATAGGCCCTGAAAACGTAAGTGCCCAATAAGTACATGCCAATGCATTCTGGGAATTCAAACCCCAGCCATCTCCAGCAGTCCCTACTACCCAGCAAAACGAACTCAAAAAATAAGCTAAAAAAATAGCTAATTACTACAAAATAAGGATGAACTCAACCTCAGACTAAAATGTCTGAAGTTCCAAATATAAAATTATTTACACCAGAGTAGAAAATGCTAGGAAATGGCAGTTTTTCAGCTCAGGAGCCTAGGAGAGTGGGGCAGGCAGTAGGGATGATTAATTAGAGTCGTACAGGGACAGCCCGTGCCATGGTGGTTGAGGCAGCTGGATCTCACATGGCCGACTGCAAAGTCTGAGTCCTGGACCTGGTGCCTTGAAAACATGCCAGGCGGGGAGAACCAGCAGTTAGCGTAAAGTCTATGTTGCTGGACTCTCATGTAGTTGACCGCGGTTCGCATCCCGGACCCGGTGGCTTAAAACTCACGCTGGGCGTGTGTGCGTGCGTGCCCAAGATCCCAAGAGGAGAATGGAGGAGAAGGGATTGTGGCGTGACCATCTCCCCTAGGGGGTGATTTCTCGCTTTCTGTCTCTATGTCTCTCTCTCTCTGTCTGGCGAGCGCACACGCCCTATAGCGAAAACCTCTCAAAAAAAAAAAAAAAAAAAATGCCAGGCAGGATGAGCAGTTAGCATAATGTCTATGTCACTGGACTCCCACGTAGTTGACCGCAGTTTGCATCCCGGACCCGGAGGCTTAAACTCACGCTGGGCACGTGTGCGTGCATGCCCAAGATCCTGAGAGGAGAATGGAGGAGAAGAGATTGCAGCGTGGCCATCCCCCCTGGGGGGTGATTTCTCGCTTTCTGTCTGTCTCTCTGTCTCTCTCTCTCTGGCGAGTGCACACACCCTATAGCAAAAACCTCTCCAAAAAAAAAAAAAAGAAAGAAAACATGCCAGGTGTCAGGCACATGTGCATACATGTCTAAACTCCCAAAAGGAGAGACGAAGGAGAATTGCATTGTGGCCATGCCCCATGAGGGGGGTGCTTTCTCACTCCCCACCCTAAACTCTGTCCCAGCTAAGTCCACCGACGCATCTCTGGCAACTGTGATTCCGAAAGAAGCTCATTATCATCAAGAAAGGTCATCCATCAGCTTTTGCAAAGTGAAAACTGGAGGCCTCAGCGGAAGGGTCGCGGGAAGGACTGACAATGGAGACGGCTTCCTCCCGGATGATGGGAACGTTCTACGGTGAAATTGTGCTAACAGAGCCAGAACTCCGGGACTATACCAGAACCACGGAATCATACACTCCCGATGCTGGACTTTATACTTGCTGAATTATATCTCAATTTTTTTTTTTTTTAAAGAAAAGGTCACTAAATAATTGCAAGAAGTAAACAGAGGAGCGCAGATCAGGACTTTGTTCCAGACAGGTGGTTGTTTGGCAGACACTATTCAGCCTTTGGATCATTTCTTTTTTCTCTTCCCTCTAGCCTCCTACCCCCTTTCTTCTTCTTCCTTTTTTTGTTTTATTTTATTTTGTGTATTTATTTTAGAGACAGAGATGCGCTATGCTGTGTAGGATGGCCTTAAATTTGCAATCCTCCTGACTCAGCCTCTCAAGCAGCTGGGATGACAGGTACATACAATTGCACCTGGCTTGTTTTATTTTTAATTGGCACGCAATACTTGTACCTATTTATAGGGTTCAGGGTGATATTTCAATACACGCATCCATCATGTAATGATCAAATCAGGGTATTTAACATATTCATCACCTCAGTTACCATTTGTTGTGAAACTATTCAAAATCCTCTCTTCTAGTTATTTTGAACTATAACATTCAATGGGGCCAGCAGGTGGCCTGGTGGTTAAGGGCACTGGACTCCCACATGGCCAACTGTGGTTTGAGTCCTAGACCTGGTGGCTTGCTTTCTCACTTTCTCTCTCTCTCTCTCTCTCTCTCATTCAGTCCCTCTCTAATCAAATTAAATAAAGTTAAATTTAAAAAATAATTCTTTAAATAAAAAATATAACATGCAATATTGTTAACTATAGTTACTCTATTGTGCAGTAGAACACCAGAACCTATTCATGTCCTGCCTCACTGTAATTCTGTACCTGTTGACCAGTCTTTTCCCCTCCCCCTCCCCCAACATTTAAAAGTTAAATGCATCCCAGGGACCAGCAGGTGGTGTGATGATTAAACCGCTGGACACTCCCATATGGCCGACCATGGTTCAAGTCCTAGACCTGGTGGCTTGCTTTCTTACTTTCCCTCTCTCTCTCTGTGTGCGTCTCTCTCTGGTCAAATTAAAGTAACTGAGTGAATAAATAAAATTACATTAATAATTTTAAAAAGAATAAAATAACTTTTAAAGCTGTGATATGCATCCCGTAGAACTAAAGTGAAAAGGGGCTGGCAGGTGGTGTGATGGTTAAGGTGCTGGACTCCCATGTGGCCAACTGAGGTTCGAGTTCCAGACCTGGTGGTTTGCTTTCTTACACACTCTCTCTCTCTCTCTCTCTCTTTCTCTTCCTCTCCCCGTGGCCAAATTGAAAATAATAATAAATAAAAATTCGTAAAAAAGAATGGAACCGATGAATACACTGATAAACATATGGTTATACGTTTTTCCTGGTAAATGCACACTGCCTTGAAAACAATTTCAGGTATCACATCTTCCAGAAAGTTCCCCTGACCCCTTCCTTACCCAGGCCAAGATAAGTGCCCCTGGGTTTCAGTAAATGCCCTTTGCTGGCTGTGGCTAACATTTCATACTGAAATAATTATCTGTCTATCTGCCTCTCACCTCCCACTCGCACAGCCTTGGCACATAAGAAGTGCACGAGAGGAGGGCTGTCATGGCGCTGCAGCACTACAACTGGGCCCATGTGGCAAAGGTTCTGGGCTAGCATTCCCGGACCTCCCGGAGCACGCTGGGCACACAAGCATGTGCCAAGGATCTGCACCGGCTGAGACAGGGTGAACCATGGCATGAAGACCTGATGGAGTACCTGTCTTCCTTTCACTTTCTCTCTCTCTCTCTCAATAAATAAACTTTTCTTTTAGGGTTTGTTTGCCATCAGGAGCATGTGCTTGCTGGAGAGAGAGAGACAGTGAGACAGTAAGAGGGAAAGTGAGAAATCACCCTCCCCACTCCCCGGAAAGATGGCCACACCACAATCCCTTGTCCTCCGTTCTCCTCCTGGGATCTTGGGCAAGCATGCACACGCGCCTGGAGTGAATTTCAAATCACGGGATCGGGAACTCAGACTGGGGCTGGCCATGTGGTAGTCCAGCAGCGTAATCACTACACCATCTGCTGGCCCCAACAAATAAACTTTTAAATGTTTATTACATGAACTGAACACTGGATCATCATCTTGTAAGGTTACTTTTAAATTAGTAGCTTTTCTTTTTAACATACTTATTTTACTTCTGCAACATTGTACTTTTGCACTCCTGTAGCCAGTAATTTGCCACCTAAACAACAGGACATTATAAAATGGTTGCTCTGGGGACCAGCAGTTAGCGTAATGGCTATGTCTCTGGACTTCTACGTAGTCGAGTGTGGTTTGAGTCCCAAACCCAGTGGCTTAAACTCATGCCGGGAGTGTGTGCATGAATGCCCAAGATCCCGAGGGGAGAATGGAGGAGAAGGGATTGTGGCATGGCTATCCCCCCCTGGGGAGGGTGATTTCTCACTTTCTGTCTCTCTGTCTCTCTCTCTTTCTGGCGAGCGCATATGCCTTATAGCAAAAACCTCTCCAAAAAATAAAATAAAATGTTTGCTCTCAAGGAATGCATTCATTCACACCAAGAATAAATCAAATGTGTTCTTTAAAGGATTTTTACTTTGGACAGGTCAAAAGGGAGAATGAATCAGAGCATCAGAACCTGTGGTTCCTGGCTGATAAAAAGATAAAGCATGCTCTCTTCCCCCCAAAAACATTTAAATATAACAAGTGTTTTTCTATTTGTTTTTTTATGTTCCAGAGGGCATGCACTTGCCAAAGAGACATAGCTAGAAGGAGAGGGAGAAAGCACCCTCCCTACAAGGTGTGCTCACACCACAATCCCTTCTCCTCCATTTCTCCAACCTGTCAGGAGTTGGGGCATGCACGCACACACTCACCTGCTGTGTTTCCCAAGCCACTGGGATCAGGACTCAAACTGCTCAGTGGCCACATGGATCCAGCTCCCTTAACTACTAGGCTACACGGCTAGCTCCACAAAGATTTTTAAGAATTACTTATTATAATCATTATTATTATTATTATTATTTTAATTTGGCCAGAGAGAGGGAAAGCAAGAAAACAAGCCACCAGGTCTGGGACTCAAACCACACTCAGCCATGTGGGAGTCCAGCACCCTAACTACCATGCCACCTGCCAGCCATAGTCCATGAAGTTTTTTTCTTTTCTTTTTTTTGGAGAGGTTTTTGTTATAGGGCGCATGCACGCACCAAAAAGACAGAGGCAGAGAGATAGAAAGCAAGAAATCATCCCCCCAGGGGGGATGACCATGCCGCAATCCCTTCTCCTCCATTCTCCTCCCGGGGTCTTAGGCACATACACACATGCACCTGGCATCACTTTCAAGCCACTGGGTCCAGGACTTGAAACACAGTCGACCACAGGGGACTCTAGCAACATAGCTGCTTTGTCATCTGCTGGCTTCCATTCACACAGCTTTTAAGCTGAGTCCAGTAGGTCTGAGCAAAACCATCTTAGAATCAGTATCTTTTATACCTTTCCTCTTCATTACTATCCAGAGATTTTCTTAGCACCAAAGAGTTGTATTATCGTGACTTGCTATAAAGTTCAGTTCACAGAGAAGCCACTGAAAATCAGGAGGGCTTTTGTCCACCCATGTATTTCATCCACCATATATATACCTGGAGACAGCTATTGAGTTCTGAACATTTGCACTCCTCAGTCAGCCTGTTCCTATGGGAGGCAAGTGCATCTCAAACAGGGACACCACTCTGGCCTGTGCGCACCCCACACCCTCAGTGGGCAGTATGCTCAGAGTTGGTGAGTGCCAGGCACCCTGTCCACAGCTACAGGAACCTGGTGGTGGCATGCCATCTCTGGAGAGTCCCTTGTCATTGTCCATTACAAACATGTTCAAACACAAAGAATCAGAAAAAGAAAATTACAAAGACTTTCTGGAGGCCCACCTCCATAACACTCAATAGTTCACATTTTGCCATTTACATGGGGCCAACAGGTGGAGTGGTGGCTAGAGAATTGGACTCCCATATAGCCAACCATAGTTTGAGTCTTGGACCTGGTGGCTTACCTTCTCACTTTCTCTCTCTCTCTCTCTCTTGTCAAATTAGAGAATAATAATAATAAATTAAATAATTCCTTTAAAAAGTAAATAAATTGTCCCACATACATAATCACACTAGATACTTCATAATAATGCATGAAGTTACTTCAGTATACAACTCCAAAGTAAGAATATTATCCTGTATACCACGATACTGTCGTTCTACCAAATAAAGCTAACATTAACTCTTTAATATTAGCTAGTATTTGGTCCATGCCCAGATGTCCCTCATAGTCTTTTTTTTTTTCCCTCATAGACAGTGTATGCTCACCAGAGAGAGAAAGGGAAAGTGAGAAATCATCCTCCCCAGATGGATGGCCACGCTACAATCCTTTCTCCTCCATTATCCTCTTGAGATTTGGGGCACACACACACACATGCCTGGTGAAGTTTTCAAGCCGCTAAGTCCAGGACTCAAACTGCAGTCAGCCATGTGGGAGTCCAGTACCCTAACTACCACATCACCTTAGTGCCTTCATAGTTATTCTTTAAAAAGAGGCCCTCCCATAAGTTACACCCTGTCCCAACACTTCCACACACCCCCGATAACGTCGGGCCGTCACCAGGCAGCCACCGCTGCCGTCCCCTTTTTGAGTACCTGTACAAAAGGTGCCGTCGTTGGGAATGAATGTCTTGTTGTTGTTCGTGGCTCGATATCCTTCCAGACAAATGCAATAGAAGCCTCCAGGGGTGTTGTGGCAAGATGTGTGGTTCCCACAGACCACGGCGGCTCCAAACTGGCACTCGTTCTTATCTGGTGATACGTTGAGGCAACACACAGAAAGGGTTATCAGTCCACGTCGATACCAGGATTGTCCACCGCCGTGTGGGCTCGGGAATCCATATTCTCTGATAGCAGCTTAATGTTCTACTTGCCCAGCCTCCCTTCCTCCCACTATGTGTCTCAGGCTAAAGGCCAGGGGCCCCGCAGAGTCCCGTGCCAGGTGTACAGAGAGCCATGAGACCTACATCCCAACCTGGCAGTCCATCCTGTCTGAAGTCTGAGAGAAGGGGATTCTGTTAAAACTTGTTTGTTGTTGCCAAATGGTGTGTGCTCAGCAGAGAGAGAGAGAGAGAGAGAAAGCGTAGGGTGTGGTCACACTGCAATCCCTTCTCCTTCATGTCTCCATTTTGTTGGGATTTGGGGCATGCACACACATGTGCACACATGTGGTGTGCTTTACAACCATGGTCAGCCATGTGGGGTCTGGCTCCCTTAACCACTTGGCTACAAAGTATTTTCACACTTAAAAATATCTGATCATAGGCCTAGGTAAACAACTCAGCAGAATCCCACTTTTCCAGGTCAGCCATTGTCCTGTTTTTTTGTGAAAGCCAGGGTAAGACAATTTTATATCCAGTGGTTGAGTGGAAGATTTGTTATTTCTGAATTACCAGGAAACACAATGGAATGAGTGCTGGAGCCTCATCCGGAAGCAGGGCTAACACTGTGGCCTGAACAGGCTCCTGCGAATCGTCAGTGACCCATGTGAACAGGAGGGCTGGGGCACGGATGCTGGAAGAGTCCACCGAAGCCTGCCCCCAGTGATTTCAATTAAACAATAAAATGTATACAATGTGAAATGAAAGTAGGTCTCCCTGCCCTCCTGTTCTCTAGCCCAGTGGTCAGCAAGCATTTTCTCACCGTCTTGCTGCGACTGTCCACCGTGCTCTTGAAGCATGAAAAGTGGCCATAAACCATAGGCAAACTAACATGCAATGCTGTGTTACGATGAAACCCAATTTACACAAACGGTGGGTCAGGGTCAGCCCACAGGCCAGATAGCCAACTTGCCCTGGCCTCTAACTTCAGGGGAACTCTTGAGACTGATTTTGATTTCTTTTGCTTTCTTTCTTTTCTCCTGTCATCTATCTATCATCTATCTATCTATCCATCATCTATCTATCATCTATCTATCTATCTATCTATCTATCTATCTATATCTCTTTCTTTTAGTTTGTTCTTTTGCTACAGGGCATGTGCACGGGAGAGACAAATGGGCAGGGGCAGGGGAGAGTGAGAGGCCACGCCCTACGGGAGATGGCCACGCTGCAGTCCCTTCTCCTTCCTTTTCCTCTCAGGATTTTGGGCATGCACATACACACACCCAGCTTGTTTTGCAAACCACTGGATCTAGGACTTAAACCGCACAGTTGGCCCTGTGGGATGGTCCTCGTATGTATCTCTTTAGAACCAATGTATACAGCTAGAGTTTTTGAGAGAGAAAAATATATTTCAGGCCAGCAGATGGGTGGATCCCACATGGCTGACTGCGAGGTTGGAGTCCTGGACTCCAGCTTGAAAAATATGCTCAGGATGTGCATGTGTGCCTAAAAATCCCGAGAGGAGAATGAAAGACAAGGGATTGACATAGTCGTTCGCCCACCAAGGGACCAATAGCAGTTCAAGTCCTGGGCCTGGCGTGGTGCTTTCTCGCGTTCCCTTTCTCTCTGTCTCTGTCTCTGGAGAACTTTCTGGGGAGTACACACACCCTGTCAAAAAATTATTTTTCAAAGAATTTTTTTTTTTGAGGGACCAGCAGTTAGCGTAATGGCTATGTTGCTGGACTCCCATGTAGTCGACTGCAGTTCGTGTCCCAGACCTGGTGGCTTAAAACTCAGCCGGGCGCATGTGCGTGTGTGCCCAGGATCCCGGGAAGAGAATGGAGAAGGGATTGCGGCGTGGCCATCCCCCCTGGGGGTGATTTCTCACTTTCTGTATGTCTCTCTGGCCAGAGCACGCGCCCTATAGCAAAAAACTCTCAAAAAAAAAAAAAAAAAAAAAAAAAAAAAGAATGATTTATTTATTGTTATTTTTTAATTTGACCAGAGAGAGAAAACAAGCCACCAGGTCCAGGACTCGAACCATAGTCAGCTGTTTGGGAATCCAGCACCCTTATCCACCACACCACCTGCCGGCCCCCGCATATTACATTTTTAAAAGTTAATGAACTTCGGACCAGCAGTTAGCATAATGGCTATGTCACTGGACTTCCATGTAGTTGACCAGGGTTCGAGTCCTGGACCCGGTGGCTTAAATTTACACTAGGTGTGTGTGTGTGTGTGCCCAAGATCCCAAGAGGAGAATGGAGGAGAAGGAATTGTGGCGTGGCCATCTCCCCCCAGGGGCGGCGGGTGATTTCTCGCTTTCTGTCTCTCTGTCTCCCCCTGTTTTCTGGTAAGCGCACATGCCCTATAGCAAAAACCTCTGCAGAAAAAAGAAAAAGAAAACAAAAGCTAATGAACTTGAAACATGATTCATACTAAAACTGTCTATGGTAAAACCTGTTTGAGAAGTTAGAAACCCTCAAGCCACAGCTAGCCCTAATATCCAGCCCACGTGACAGAGCATATGCAGTGGTTTAAGACACAAGTCCAGCTGTCCTCCGAACGGGCTCTGTCCTTCGTCATTGTTCCTGAGACACATTTCCTCTGCGGACCTCCGGGGCCGCGACCTCTGGGTTGGTAAAGGATTCTAGGACTCTCAGATCCCTTAGCTTCCAACCAGGTCTTTGCACACCTGCCACACATACACCTCACCTCCCGCAGTCCCAGCAAGCCAAGGACTGGGAAATGCATGTCCTGTGTCTGGGAGCGAGTACTTCTTTCATTAATAAGGCTTCCTCCTCCCATTAAGGGCAGGTTCTCTTGTTCAAAAGTTAGTGGTGGGGCCAGTAGATGGCTTAGCCTTTATAGGGCTGGAGTCTCACATGGCCGATCATGGTTCGAGTACGACCTGAAGTCTTGAAACTGACTCTGGGTGCATGTGTGTGCATACCCAAAATTCCAAGAGGAGAATGGAGAAGGCAAAGCCATACCCACAGGGGGCGGTGATTTCTCACTTTTTCTCTCACTGTCTCTCCAGCAAGCACATGTGCCTTATAGCAAAAATCTCTCTTTAAAAAAAAGTTTAAAAAAGTTAGTGGGCAGGAGTGGTAGCATGGGCTCCAGGCATGACTACTAGAGGCTTGAGGATCACGGCATTGAGACCAGCTTAGGTAACTCTCATCTTGTCTTTCTTTTCTTTTCTTTTTCTTTTTCTTTTTTTTTTTAAGGATTTTGCCATAGGTTTTGCTAGCTGGAGAGAGACAGTGAGAGAGAAGAAATCACCCACTGGGGAAATGGCCACACCCTAATCCCTTCTCCTCCATTCTCCTCCTGGGATTTTGGGCACACATACACAACATGCCTGGCATGATTTTCAAACCACTGGGTCCGGGACTTGAACCATGCAGTCAGCCATCCTCCTTGGGAGTTAATTTCTTACTCTCCGGCAAGCACACACACTCTATGATAAAAAAAAAACTTAAAGAAAAAAATAGAAGAAGAAAAAAAAAATTTTTGCTACATACAGGAGGAGGGAGGGAACTGGGAGATTATTATAAAATTATTATAAAACTATAAAATTCCTGTGAATCTTTCCCTCTCCCTGCATTAGGCTTAAATTTGGACATTGTCTGATTGTCATGACAGGGTGGATAATGATGCAAAACAGAATCTCAGATGCTTCTAGCTTGAAGGGCTTCATATTCTGTTAGGTCATCATCTAAGTCCTCAAAGGGTGGCCCTCCAAAAACATTTAGTGGATGGATCCTGATAGACATAAGACCCAGAGCAACAACATTTCACCAATTAACGGGAGAGTGCAACAGGAAATTGTATTTTATTTTTCCTCATGGTACTAATAAAGTTTTATTATCACAATAACTGGGAAAACTATGAAATGTGATCTTCATTTGAATTGTCAAGTTAAACTAAAGACTTAAAACAAAATTCAAGGGAGCCAGCAGTTAGCATAATGGTTATGTCGCTGGACTCCCATGTAGTCGACCGCGGTTCGCGTCCCGGACCCGGTGGCTTAAAACTCACGCCGGGCGCGTGTGCGTGCGTGCCCAAGATCCCGAGTGGAGAATGAAGGAGAAGGGATTGCGGTGTGGCCATCTCCCCTGGGGGGTGATTTCTCGCTTTCTGTCTCTATGTCTCTCTCTGTCTGGCGAATGCACACGCCCTATAGCAAAAACCTCTCCAAAAAAAAGGAAAAAAAAATTCAAATGTGTGTTTGATCTGAGAGTCTCCCCACATTCCTGTTCAATAACCTCTAACGCGAGGCATAGTTCCTTGGAAAGAATCTGTCCAAACACTAAAACAAAGACTTACTATAACTGACAAAACCTCGTGTAATAAAAGCATGTGAACAAAATAACAATGTTTTCCCTCAGAGGACATCAGCTCCTACGCACCAGAGTGTCGTTCCTTGACTCAGCTTTTCTCCTTAACTCGGGATTCAGTACTTACCAATGCACTGGGTCCTCCCATTGCCCACAAATCCATAGTTACAAATACAGATCTTCTTCCCGTCTCTTTGTTGGCAGGTAGCGTGTTCATGGCAAGTGGCGCAGACATCTAAACCGAAGTCAAAAATTGTGTATTTCAGAGAAAGAAAAACTCAAAATGAGAGAAATAGCTAGTGGGCATTTTTTTTTTTTTTTTAAGAATGACTTTATTTGGGGATCAGCAGGGGGCCTTGGTTTTAAGGTGG